AGGTTGCAATTCCTCCAAACCCATCGCGAAGGTCCGATAAAGCGGAATATGAAAGTGATACGTCTACCACTTGACAACTGAATGAACATACACATATTTTTGAGTTTTATCGGACTTGATACGTCCGATCGGGTGGCTTGGATGACTGACCTAGACCTACTATATCCGATTGGTTAAAATCATGATTTGGATTAACTATGATTGGCTGGTGATATTTGCTGGCCGGTAATTGGCAGTAGATGCCATACAAAAGTCAAATATGGTCCGATAAACTATCATATTCATCCATAACCGATAAAGTATCATTTCGCGACTTCCTTTTTCAAAAGTTAGCTTGTTCAACATCCCATGCAAGATCATCTAGAAACCGTTAGCTGCTATATTAGACAGTAGCTCATCAGGTATTGCTGTGAACCACTGGGCTTTCCTGTCAGGGCATCCCGAAAACATCTATGCTGACAGGGAAGCAGCGTCTTGGCTCTAAAGCGTAGGCCAGGATGTGCCTCCAAACGATCAGCAGCCAAAACAAAAATTGAACCTATTTCATACCGGTTATTTAGGTTTTAGTAAAAACCGCAGGGGGTCTATAGCTCACCGAAAACAAGTTCGTCGCAGGTACGTGCAGAGCGGTCGTGACCAGGACACGGTGAGCGCTGCCAACAAGTGCAGGGTGGGCTTAATCGAGGAAACGGCGAGTGGTGGGAGCAAGTGTGGTGCGGGTGTAAGCTCAGAAGTGGTGCGCGCTGAGAACAAAGTCAGCGTGGTCGTGAGCCTGAACAGGGCGGGTGCTGCGGAGACGTACAGCGAGAGCGCGGCACAGAACACGGCTAGCGGCAAGTGGGGTCGAAACTTAATTGGCACTCCGGGCAAGTGCACGGAGGTCGCGGTCACAGCGCCATTTGTGATCACGCTGGGCGCTGAGATCAAGTAGTGGGGGCGTAATTTAGAACACGCGATCGCTGATAGCGCTCAGCCAAAATGGTTATGACAAGGGCGCAAATAAATGCTGCAGAGGCTATGGAGCATGATGGAGAGCGAGCGCTGACTCTAGTGCCACCAAATGAAAACAATGCTGCAAATTTGACAGCCGATCTTGCAACACATGAGGTTATGGGGACATACATAGAACAAGTTGGAAGTATATTGTAGTGTTATACACGTACGGAGAATTTAGCTACGAGCTACACAAATTTCCAGCGTCAGCAAGAGCATTAAGCTCATGCGTAGACTGAGGATTTGATAGCTGCTCAGGAGTCAGCACAAGTTGGTGTAGAGCAACTCGCCAGCCATTAGCAGGCAAGTACACTTCGTTTTCAGCAAGAACTACAAGACACGCGGCTTACCCTGGAGTCACAGCTCAATATGCTGATGTGAAGGCAATCCGAACACGCTAAGGCGCTCGAAGCCACAGTGGGTTAGCACATAGGTATTATTTGTCGTGATGTGCTGCGTGATGTTGGACTAGCAAACACAGGCATCCACGAACGAGCAGCAGACGTGAAACGGATTTAAGCAGGTAAAAGTTGTTATAACCCCTCTGTTACCGCAAAATGAGCCCGTGAACCACTAATTTTACGTCATAACTTACGGCGTAGCTTTTACCAGCGCGTTTGTATGGTGCTGTATCTTCCACTTGCCTATCCAAAACGATTAGATGTATACGTTCTCAAAGGTTTTGACACGCTACGTCGTATATCATACGACGTAAGGATGACCCAAACGACACGGACACCGACACTTACGACTTTGTAAGAGTGAACATAAAAATTAAAACGGGAAGACGCAAGCGAATGCACACATAGAGCAGGGCTTTTCGATGACTGACATGCTAAAAGAGGAACAGACACAGAGCATATGGTAAAGGACGTCACATTTATGAAGCAATGAACACACTCATCGTCAGGGAGATAACTAAGGAGGGCCTCCAGCTGGGATTAGCTGTCCTCATCGTCTGGCGTTCCTTCGCATTCACGGTTCGGCCTCCTCGTCAGCACCCTCATTGTCTTCGCGGAGAATCTCACGACGAGTCTTCTTGCGGACGCCGACGGTTTTGGGAGCGCGGCGCAGCACGACTCGCTTGCCCAGGTGTGCTGGGATCCTGTCACCGCACGCGAAGTCCTCGTGCCACACTTGGAAGCAAGTCTTGTCGCCACCTCTGCGCGCCTTGCCACACAGGTAGAACTTGGCGTCGCCGTTGGAGCAGTCCAGGCAGTAGTAGGTCGTCTGGAACGACTTTTTGAGCTCGCCTCGATACAGCGAGCACACCTTGCACGACCGCTGACGCCTCTTCTGGATGCCGCCCCTCACAGTCACCCAGTCGTTGAACTGCACGAGCGTGTGCCCGGAGAATGCAGGGCGCCGTCGCTTGCGTGCTGCTGGCGACGGAGTGGGGGCTGCCATGAAGTCTTCGTCCTTGAGCTGTAGCAGCTGCTTGTGCAGCATGCTCAACCACTCGTATCGCTTCATGGGCGTCTCGCCGGCGAGCCGACTGGCCTCTTTATGCGTGAGGTACGCGTTGACGAGCGCCAGGTCCAGTAGTCCGAGGAAAAGACTCTTATAATACTTCCGGAACCTGAAGGAGAGCTGGATGGAGGAGGACTGGAGGCGGAGCTGGTCATGCACGTCGACTCCTCCCATCCAGCGCTGGTAATCCGTCACCAACTTCGGGCACTTGAACATCGAAGTCCCGAGCCCCTTCAGGTTCCGCTGGATCCTGTCCTCTGCCATGGACACACCTGTCGCGAGGTAGTGGACCGGCTTCCGGTCCCACCAGAGGCACGAAACCATGGTCGGCACTGCCGTCGATCTTGCGAACTTGAAGGATCCACGCTCGATGCGCCTTGGTCGCGTCTTATGCTCCGCTACGATGTCGCGGTTAAAGCCCAGGCGGTTCGTCATGATCGTACCGATCACGTAGATTGACATAGAGAGAAGCTGGATGGCGAGGGCTACGGACGAATAAAAGCGGTCGATGACCACAACCCGGAAGCCACGATGCCCAGCTAGAACAGTGCTCAGGTTGCGGATGACTGCAACATCTTGGTCCCGTAGCGGTGAGGCTTGTTTGGCATGAACATCCTGGTCGTGTTGCGCCTGGATGTCGCCGGCAAGACACCTTCGTCAAACGAGATGATGTTCGGCGGCTTCCACGCGCTCAGGAACCGTTCCTGCAGTACATCAACAACGTCACGGATCTTCCACAGCTTGTCTTGACGGTTCGGGCTGTCATTGTTCGCGAAGTGTAGATCGCGCAGGATCGACGTGCAGCGGTTCCGGCTCATGTACTTGCCGAACGCACCTGCACTTAAAGCACCATCGTCGGTCATTGCCCAGTGCTGCGAAAAGCGTCGGGTGGGGCTCAACATATGAGACACGAGAAGCCCAATAACGCACAAGATCTCGCGCGGTGAGTAGTCGTTCTCCCGACGAATACGGCGTCGAAGTTCACGAAGTGTACGCATGTTCTCCGTTCTGGACGTCCGCGATCGTTCATAACGCGCTCGATGGTCCACCGTCTGCCTTTTCATCCGGTTCGTCTCTTTGGTGATCCGCATCCACAGGCGCTTCGGTAGGAAATAAAACATCAATTCAAGAGGTGATTCTTTCTTCGAGCAAAGTTCTGGTGTTGGATGGGCGGTCTCCTGCACCAATCCGCGAAAGCAGGACCCATCGTCCGCAAAAACTGTCGAAGGCGCGCTCCAGGCAAAGTTTCGCAGCGCTTCCTGGTCCATCTGCTCGATGGACAAGGTGCCACCCAGGGCCTCAATGAAAGCGGCATCCATGTAGGGCGACTCCTCGTCGTCCGATACCTCGTCCTCGTCTGGATCAGGACGGACAGGCTCCACGTCGTCGTCGTCAGAAAACTGGCCGTAGTCGGAGCCTGAACTCAGACTCTCGTACGCCTCTCTAAGATCTCCAGCCTTCATCAAGTTTACATCAGCTGGATCGCGTGGTACAACTGGTCCTCCAGCGTCGTCACCCTCGCTGGCGTCTCTCGGCTCCTCCACCGTGTCGTCCTCAGAGTCTAGGTCGGGCTCCGTCTCCGAGAGCAGCCGCTGGAAAGCTCCGATCACGACACTCTGGTCTGAGTCATGCACCGCGTCAGCACGTAGCGGGGATAGCCCAAAAGCTCTCCCAACCGCGTTCTGCGACAACGCAGGTGTGCCATCGTCCTCGCTGTCACTTTCGAACAGCGCGTCGACTGTGTTGGCCGAGAGAGCCACATTGCAATCAATCTGCGACGCTCGCACCATATCTCCATCACCGCTGTCGCCCCCACCGCTCCCAGCTTCACCGCCGCCACCGCTCTCAGCTTCACCGCCCCCACCGCTCTTGCCCTCACCGTTATCTCCACTCTCCTCGCCACTGCTGTTGTCCTCTTCATCCTGAATCAGTCCGGTTGTGATCGCGTGCTCCACCACCGCTCTCTCACCTACCACAAACCAAGTTAGAAATGACGCATAGTAATACTGCAATAGCACAACATACCGTAGAGCACAATCTCGCCTTCTGCAGGAACCTCGCTGGACGGCCTGACGTACGCCCAATCGTTTGACAGTCCGGTGGGAGGCTTCGACCGCCACCCCGCGGCCTTGAGCTGGCGCCACAGGTGGCCGAAGTCTACCAGGCGCGGATCCAGGGCGGGCGCTGACACCGACGCTTGAGCCTCAGCTTTGGTCCTTGCGCTCACAGAGACCGGCATTTTGCTTACGTCTCAGCCGGCAAAATCTCGAATGGCTGAGAGTGCCCGAAGACTTCTGGCCACTCATCAAATGATGACAGTTGGAAAGGTCCACTTGAACCCTTTTCCGTGTACTGTCTTTGTGTGTGCAGCAAAAACCTCTCCAGCCTTATATCCGATCGGCCCCAAATTTGATTTGATTTCAGTATCAGGTCGCCGTTTCCGAGCCAACTCCAATATGAAGAAAACACTATGTCGTAAGTTACGACGTACAATTTGGACTATGTCATAACTTATGACGTTGGTAACAGGGGGGATAATGGAGTCGCACGATGCAATGTCAAAGTCGCTGGCACAGGCTCTACCTCCACAACCTGCACTAACTTATCAGAACATTGAGCGTCTGTCCATGACGCTTTGGTAGATCATGGCAATATCTGTCTAAGAATCAAAGCGAGTAAACGAGTCCGTGAATAAGCACCTTGAAGCAAAACTCGCTGAACAAGAAGCTAATAAAGCATTACGTAGCACGGCTCCTGCGAATGTGGAGACTAGCTTGAAAGCTAAAATGCAGTTGGCCATTCAGGCGGCTCAAGCCGAGCTTACGCAGATAAATGACGAGCAGCTTAAGTCAGCGCACCAGCATATCTGCCACGAAATTCATGAGTCAGAGCTCCGACTGGAGAAGGAATGGCAGGGTGTGCTGCGCACGAATGCAGTAGCAGTCACGAAACGGCTCGATATCGCACTACATCGTTAGGATGAAGCCATTGAAGCAGTTAGACGTAAAGGCGAGCTCCTGGACATTAAATGAATGAAATGGAAGCTCGTGCGACAGCGCTAGAGAGTAAGCTAAGGACAGATGGTTATAACGAGCGCAATGGCTCCAAGCAGAGCGAAGCTGAATCTATGAAGAATCGACATTTGGCAGAGGAGCATTTGTAAATACCGCAGCATGTTAGCTGAGATGGTATTATAATTCCTATGAGTGGATAGAAGAGTTGCTGCGAGAGCCAGCTAAAGGGATTATCGCTAAGATTCGCACAATTATCAACAACAGTGCGGCTTGCCAGAAAGTCGTTGCTCTGGCAGAAGATCGGCTACGTGAAAGATAGCGCATACGGGCTGCCCGACCGAAGTCACGTGCATCGAGACGCTCTGGTGCAGAGTCACCATAGATAGTACTTGGCCCTATTATCGCTCAGGCGCAACGTGATGTCAAGTATAGAGCTGAAGAGGTTGCTCGTTGTCACAGCACTCGGGCTCATCGATTAGGTGGTTAGAAGTAATTTATGAAAAACCGAGGCATGTCACTACACCTTTTCAACTTCAAAATGGCGACAGGTAAAATCAAAGTGACAAAACGTAAGTTCAAAGTGACATGACACTGACACTTAATATTTATGGGAGTATTTACGTTTGGAGTTCATTATATGAAAGAGGCAAAAAGTGGCGGCAACTACTCCCGCCAATTTTGGTGGACGCTGGCTGGCTGTACGGCGTCGATGGAATCAGTGGACACTGTTGCTGCAGTTTGTGGCCGCACTGCCTTTCATTCATTTAGCAATTCTCACTGTGCTTCCTACCCACACAGCAATGCTGTACGACGACGCTACCGTTCGACGGGTTCTCCGTGCAGCTCACGAAGGCCAAGATTGGCGCGATGTCGCGCCATCGTCAAGCTATTCTACGCGTCCCACCGCACCTCACCATCAAGGCGCACCGTGAAAGCTACCTAAAGCTGGCTGCAGACCTCCTCGTACTCGAAGCTATCACCCCAGAACTTTGCTACAAGTGCTCGTTGCACACCATGAAGTTCCATGCGCGTGCGATCCAGATGAAAGATATGCCTGTAGGAGAATAAAGACAATATCAAGAATAAAGACAATATCAAGTTTGGCTTTGCTGGCTCCTATGTTCGATGTCACTTTGAACTTACGTTTTGTCACTTTGATTTTACCTGTCGCCATTTTGAAGTTGAAAAGGTGTAGCTTTTTATTGTGTTTATTTGTGCAGTTAGCGCGGAGATGAGTACGAGCCGCACGCCGAGTTCGCAAGACTAGAAGCTGCTGAGGGGATAATCGTCACAGGCTGTGACGATTATCTCCTTTTTCGAGTATTAGCCTAGATGGGCTGTGACTCACAGCCCATCTAGGCTAATACTCGAAAAAAGGTCAATAATCAAATCTTCTCCAAATTCATCGGGTACCATTTCAGTTGGAAATGTCATACTTGCCGGTACGTGCTCCTCAATTTTGCTCGAAGGAATTGCTTGGCACTGAGCAAGGTCAACAATCTTACTGTTCATGTTAAAGACGATTGCCATGTCAATGTTTTGCGGGGACAGTCTCGTGCGCTTCGAGGTTACCATTGTCCCCGCCACAGTGAAAGCTCGCTCTATGTGAGCTGAAGAGGCTGGGACGGCACAGAGAAGCTTGGCTGCTCTCGGTAGTATAAGATACTCTCCTGACTGCTCCATCTGTTTCCAAGCGTGCAAAATCGACACTTGTTTTCCCTCAATAACGCGTAGCTGAGCTACTAGCTCGGCAGGATCGTCCATCCAGCGAGAAAGCTCGCCATCAATTCGATTTGCAACGTAGTTTGTAACAGGTCTTTCACGCACTGGGGGACCAAAATTTTCAGCTAGTTCATCTGAAAAGCTGAAAACTAATGGGCTTCATAGACGACTGAATCCGTCGCTTTCATCAACACATTACGGAACTTTTTAATCTTGTCCGACACAATCGCCACTTAGCGATGATACATTCGCATAGATCCACTGTTTTTCACTTGCAGTTGCATTAGTTTAGTGTTCTGAAATACACACAATCTAACAACCAGGTGCAAGGATCGCTCAGGTCGCTTGTATAAATGATGCACACTCTGTTGCATTTCAAACACGTACGCTGCTACACGAATAGTTTCAGGCTTAAAATATCGTAAACAGAACCGTTGATCCAGTGCTGCTTGCGCGTTAAAGCAGCTAGGGGGTTAATTCACCTACGGTAATTCACTTCGGCTGCGCCTTTGTCGGCATGTAGTGCTACAGTGCTTTGTCAACAGCTAACGAGTTTAACCGAGCGAAATACAGCTTGAGAAATACATCTACTTAATATGCCTTCTCCGCTTGGCAAACACGTTTGATTTCAGCGAATGGTGTCAAAAGTGATAGAATTCGTATCAAATTCAGCTGGTCGTTCTCAAGAAGGAATGTAGATGGGGGAACTACCGCCCTCTCGGCTTGGCGCCGCCGCTCCTGATACCAGGTCGCAGTAGATTCCCATTTGCCGAGCACTCGTCGAATGGAACTCGTGAGACTAAGAAAAAGAACCGGGGCATAGTCAAAACTTTGTGTCGTGCCAGTGCTAGTGAGACTCTTACAAAGAGCTTCAAAGAGATCTCTACACTGGACAGTTCGAGCTGGTTTATAGCTTTCTGAACCCGATAAATCAACCGAGTCTAATCAGGGTTACCGGCGGTTAGCTATTTTTGGGGTCGTATACGGGTAGGGCCTGATAATTGGGTCTGGCGGGTTTCCTGACCAAAATGCCAGGCCCTACCAAACACAAGACCAATTGCTAAGCTATATATTGAAGTGAAAGATACGAAGCTAAGTAGTTGGGTAAAAAAGCTTAAACCACGATGGTCTGCGCGGCACGAAGTTGGTGTCGCCATCATCGGCATCACTGTCATTGCTGATCACATCTGCGCCCCAATTGGTAGCAGCAGCGTCCTCTTCGCTGCTAGTACCAGATACGCCATCGTTGTCATCATCACTGTCGACATCTACAGCCTCGTCATCTTCTTCACTGCTCGATTCTTCTTCTTCTGTAGGAAGATCCACAGGGCGAGGAAGCTGGATGGTCTCACGAGTTCTACCACGGGATCGGCGACTACGAATAGCGGCAATATCAGCGACATGGCCTCGCGCTAAAGCCTCAATAGTACCTACAAAGTTCGTAAGACTGGGGTGTGGTGTCGAGAAAGCGGCGTTCAACTCTCTGTTGAACCTCTCTAATGGATTATTCGTTCGAGCGACAAGCCGTTCATTTAGACCGTGGACATTCCATAGCCCAGTATCGTAGAGCTCCAGCCAGGTTCTCTTGAAATAGTTCCAAAAGCAACGCCACTTAGAGCGAGCGTAGGGGACACCGTCGCTGCGGCAGCGATCCTTGATTTGACGCTTGACCCACGTAATGCCTCCAACCTCGATCCGGTTCTCCGGCACGACGGTTAGCATATCTAGTACACCAGGGGTCATAGCGATTGATGCAGCTGTGTTCGTTATACCTAACTTGCGCATTTTACGGCGGACTGCCTGTTTAAAATGGAACAGGCAGCCGATCACTTGTGCGTTCGGGAATTGGACGCCAACTGCGTCGATCAGAGCACGTTCAAAGTCGCAGACGACCTCCGCCGGGTCGAGTTTTTGATCCGTAGCTTGCATGATGAAATGAAGGACGTCAAAATAGGTGTCATTAGTCCGATGGGATGTCAAGACGTAGAACACTGGGCAGTAGTATCCAGTGGACCGATCGAAAACCATGAGAACAACGCATTGCTTGAAGCCACGAGGCACACACCGGAAAGTACCGTCAATAAATATTGATGTACCAGCGTACTTAAGCAGCGAAATTAACTCCGGGTGCGCCCACCCGATCATTCGACAGGGGGTTTCGTTGTCATTAAACCCACTGATGTAGTGAAATTGAAAAAAGTTGATCGGTTGATCTCGGACTCGAGAAAGAGGTGGAAGTTCAACACGACCATGTACATTTCCACCGAAATGACGGTCTCGTACACGATAGACTCGACTGAGAACTTGCTCACGAGACAAACCAACAAGTGCCTGGTTTTGACCGCCGCCGTAGAACTGTTCATCGACTCGACTCCAGATAGTCGCTGCCGGGAGCGACATTTCGGTACGTGCTAGGTTATCGACTGCGGCTTGCATGTCGGCCACAATATCTAGAGGCTGGGCAAGAGGTATGCGATCCCTTCTGCAAGTATGCGGTACAAAATTTCCATATTCCATGGACTCCGAAACCAGCTCCACCTTGCCGCTGCATTGTTGCCCTCGATAGTAACTGCAGCGATACACGACCTTACGACGTGAGGACCACGCTTTGGTGTACTGATAGCCACTGATGTTTATAATGGTTGAGTATCTACCATTGCGAGCTGCTGATGAGTGCGGGAGGGTCAACCCACCTGCCGGAACTGAAGAAGTGTCGTGTGTTACATTGCTACGTGGAGCAACCGTCGACCGAGTTGGCTCGACTAAGGATGCTGCGTCTGGGTCAGGGACGTTGGGGTCTACGTCGGCCATGGAAGAAGTTGTGTTCGTTCGACTTGTTGGAAAAGAAGAAAGAATGGAAATAGTGCACGGGCTCACATCAGAACAAAATGGTTGTTAAGAAACCCCTAAGTAGTGGTTTCTAGTGCTCGCGGGAGTTTTGAAACAGCCATGGAAGTTGGTAACCATACCTGTTTGCACTTGATCCAGGTAACTCTGAATGGCTGCCTTCTAGCATTGTTTATATAGTTCAGACCGAAATAGCCGACCGCACTAGAACTATTTCCGACGAGTGGAAATGGAACCTGACCCGATAATCAGGCCTGACCTGTATACGACCCCGTTAATATTCTACCCCTGCATCATCGCTCATCCCACACGCATCTTTCGTCTCCGCGTGTGCCATGTGTGCAATGCACCATTCCAAACGCTGTTGCAGTGCGTTCACCAGCTTGCTTTTCACGCCAGATCCTTTGTCACAAGTAGATGTGAGAAAAAGCTCGGTTTTCAAGTTGAAGTCCTCCAAAATATGGTCAACCCACGCTCGAAGTGGGCCCTTTCCATACGACGGGTTAAATTTTGGGCTCCAACTGCAGCTCCCAAACCTCGTTAAAGAAGTACACTATTACCCCTAAAATATTGGTGTGCTGTCTTGTACGTCCAAAAGTCGATCATCGCCACCAAATTCGAGAAAGAAGCAATATTGAGAGCCAAAACATCCTCACTTAGAGGATGTTTTGGCTCTCAATATTGCTTCTTCACACCACTTCAAAACGGGTTGAGCTGTACATCTCGACAGTAGAATGAACTACGTTTTTTGCGCTGATGGATGTACGCATCTCCTCCTTCACGACGAGCCCTTCTTTAAGGATCGACTTGTCATATTCGCCACAGCAAAGTGGTAAGTTTTTGTTGACGATTCTGAGAGTTTCAATGGGCAAATTCACACGTGCAGGATTGTTCTTGTATAATGACGACGAACGCAGCGTCTCAACCAAGGGATAACGCTTGCGCTTCCGATCCTTTTCTGTGGAGGCCTTTTCAGAAACAACTGCGTGAGCCATTCGAAGATGTGTTGCTGCCCTCCATCCGGCCCGCTGAAAATAAGAAGAGATTCGTGCCTGGTGACCGGCAACTAGCATCGGCTAGGCATACCCAGCTTAAGTACGCCTTATCATTCTCCACGAATTCCACGCAACTCCCCCCCCACACACACACACACGTAGATGAACGAGGTTTCAGAAGCTGTCGGTGGTCGTAATTGAAAGCCAGCAGGTGCCACAAAGCTTGAAACATCTTCTCAAACCGCGACAGGAGGCTTGACTCTCACCCTTTTAGGCAAAAACGCTCGGTCTCGGAACCGTATCCTTGGGATACGTGTACGGTCTCATTAGTCGCCGAGCCCGTGCTCACGCCCTCTCTGTACTTGTTCACAGCGCTCGCAGACAGGGATCGGAAAAAAATAAATTTTTGGGCAATAATACGTACAATAGTGGGGACAATATTTATTATTGGAACAAGCTGCTGAAAATAAATACAAAAATTGGGCAATAATACCCAATACAATACCTTAAAAGACTAAATAGGAAGAGTATAGAGAAACAAAGTCAAAGAACTGGCGTCTACGTGGACCAACCATTGTGTATTCTCGCTCTTTCCGACTGCGACTTTGTTTTCAAGCCCTTTTCAATCTCACTTCGCTATTTACTAGCATTTCCACAACTCAAGACCAACAACTTTCCCTTTTGCAGCATCACTATGCCCACAAGCGCTGACATCTGTGCTTTCTTCTTCGAAGCGGGAGCCGACTATCGCTACACGTGCAAGATCTGTAACGGAGCTCGCAAGCAGGCCCCCGCTACCGGTTACTCCAACCTGCTCTCTCACTTGGGCACCAAACACCCCGACTACTTGACTGAGATGGCTACATCTCACCGTGCGGAGAACGGAACGATGGAGTCCTTTGGCTTCGTCTCAGAGGCTGTGGACCATTTGTACAGATGGCTACGCTGGGTTGTGGTGCGTAACTTGCCTCTCTGCGAGGTGGATGACCCGCTCACGCGTGAGATGTCGCGCCTGCGATCTACAAGCTCGAAGACACTGAAGGTAAAGATGCATCTTGCTGCCGCCAAAGTCGGCTTGATACTCGAGGAGGAGATGGGCGATGCATTTGGCATCATTTTCGACGGGTGGACGCATGGCTCTACGCATTTTGTCGCATTGTTCTGCGTCTACATGCACGGTGGCACATTCCGTCGTCGATTGCTATCGATTTCGCCAGTCGTTGAGGGGTCACAGACAGCGGACGTACATATTGATCACTTCCAGCGGGTCCTGGACCTCTACAACAAGACACTCGCCATGTTTTTGTTCGTTGGTGACAATTGTTCGACGAATCGCTCAATTGCGACCAAACTGGAGGTACCCTTGGTCGGGTGTGCCAGCCACCGGCTCAACTTGGCTGTCCAACTATTTTTGAGCCGGTACGAGGCGGAGCTGGATCAGGTGAGCACGCTCATGGTACAGCTGCGGCACCCAAACAATAGCGCCGAGTTGGCAAAATTTACTGAGCTTCGCCCAGTTAAGAGGAACGCGACGCGCTGGTCGTCAACACGCGAGCTGGTCTCCCGCTACATCAAAATCCGGGGCGATATTAGGAAGGTTGAAGCGGTTGAGGAGTTTCTTCCTTCTGCATCTGCCCACCGAAAAATCGTGGCACTGAACGAAGATTTGCGCGTGTTCGACAGCGTCTGCAAGAAGTTGCAGGACGACGAGACTACGATGGCCGACACCCGATTGCTGTTTAATTCGCTCCTGGATCGGTACCCAGATTTGGGCTCCCACCTGGATCCCTCTTTAAAAATAGTGCACTCACCGACTTTTGAGAATGCGGTAATTAAGGTGGCAAATGGTTCTCTATTAACAGCTGCTGAGGCCAAATCCGTCTCAAAATTTGCTTCGGATCGACCGACTGGCGTTGGCGATAAACGCAAGAGACCGCGCTCCAGACTTCGCTACGACGGTTCTGCTGGAAGGCTCAGCAGCGCGCAGGACGGGCCGCTCGTCTGTAGTCTACAACGCTCTACTGACGAAGATCCCACCGACGAGTAGTGCGTGCGAGCGTCTGTTCTCGCAGACGAAGCTTATTTTGACTCCGCAGAGAGGGCGGTTGGCAGATGCCAATTTTGAGGTGCTAACGTTTCTCCGTGCTAACCTTGATATGTGGAATGCAAGCACTCTCGTTGACACCACTGCAAGCGACTGAGAGGCGTTAATGAGGACGTAGGTTCGACGATGGAGACGCATATGGCCAATATATTCATTATATTGCAAAGTTATTATATTGCTTCAGGTCCTATTGCAGTCGCTATTACGCAGGTGATCGTCCTTCCGTAAAATAAAACATTTTATTATCCGATCCCTGCTCGCAGAGTCCTCAGTCACTTCCGCGCTACTTGCTCACTGCTCAGTTGTCAGCTGCTCTTGGTGCTTTGAACCTGGGAAGGTGCTGCTACTTACAAATGCGTAGTGTAGAGTAGTGGATATCTGCCAATACCGTGCTGCCTTCGCAAGCTCAGCATGAATGTCAGACACGTGGAGCGAGCACAACTTCGATCGCGTGCGTTGTGCTCGCAGCTCTCGTATTAATATCGCAAGCAATAAAACCTCATTTTTCGAGCTCGCACAAAACCCCTGCGCTCTCGAATCTTGGTTTGTCTGCTTGTTTATCCATGTGCTCGTCGAATGCGTGGTTTAAACGTACAGTACAGACAAGAGTGGTATTGTTGCACGTGATATTCGATTCGTCGTATGACTTTGAAGACTTTGGTCGGAAGTGCCCCAGATGTTCCACTAAAGCCTTTCCGATATGCTGATTTTAACGAATGTGCTTCGAAATGATAAAAAGTTAAAATTAAAAAGTATATTTTAGTTTTAAGTCATTCCTATTACATTTTGTTTGAGTTATTGGTGTCTTAAGTGACATCCAGTGGAGATGACATGGCATTTATGAAAAGTACAAAACTAACTTGCCTCAGGAAATGAACGAGGTACCTAAAGCGATATTCGGAATCTGAAAGCACTTACAACGACCGTGGCGTACATTCTGAGACCTTTGTTGACACACTATTCAATAGATATGCGAACTGTGCGTGAATTGTCGGGGCGTCAAAAACTTCTGGGTCGTGGACATGGCTCATCTTTGCGGTTATTCGTGCGGTGTCAGGAAACAAAAAGTTGGGCAACGAGTCTCGTCGACGACTGTTGGATCTTAGAGCAAGTGCTAGCACTGGTTGCTCCCGGGAGTATAAAACGCCCTCCCATGGAGTCACAATCCCGTCGCTCTCCGCTGCAGCATCGTGTAGTTGGCGCATTAAATGCCAGAAGCGAGCCCATACGAGCTGAGACGACACGCCAACGCTTGACTTCCGGCGACCTAGAGTTCCAGAGTGTCTTTGCTGATGTTGCGTGAGTGCGAACTCACGACGCATCTTCTGGAAACCAACGTACCCATCCAGCAGACACTTTAGACAGCCGCATCCAGCGCCTTCACACACACGGAGAAAGTGTGTAGACGGCAAGTCTCGAGCCAACGCTTCCAAAGTACCCACAAAGAACCCTCGTACATGAGCCCACGTCGCCTCCATATCGGTCACTTCGTTTACTACACCAAACAAGTCTCCATCTCCCTGCCAGACCACACGATCTAGTTCATGTTCACGCGCGACTTGTAAGAATATCTCGGGGTTTATTTGATCGCACTCGATACGACGCAGTGTATCACTGTACATGAGTAGAATGTCGCCCATATCTCGAGACGCGTCAATGGACAGCACGATCTGAGTGAACTCCGCTGACGTTAACTGTCCGTCGCCATTCACATCTCCGGCGCGGAATGCATCGAATAAGTGGCGTTCACGACGAATCTGCTCCAGTTTCCACTCTGCTACCACCAGTTGAAGTAAGTGATCAACATTCAGAACGTGGTCGCTGCTTGTTGTCTCGGGTATCACCCCAACTGAGATTGGAGGTGGGAGAACGGCACTCGAGTTTCCTTGAGCTGCGATCGTACCCAGATTCTCGCAAAAGGCAGCCACTGCCGTCTTGCGCATATCTCGAAAGCACAGCTGCGCGATCTCCTGCGCTCGGTCCAGAGAGATCACCCAGCTTTCCTTGTCCGGGACAGGGAGTCGAGGAACAAACCGCGATCGTTTCGATGCAGTTGGCTGACGTGTATTGCTAATGTTACCACTGGACGAAGTGGGCGTGACTGGACGATGCGTACTCATCATCGTCGTCCCGGTTAGATCATCCGATACGATGCATTCGAGGAACTCCAAGTAGTTCGTCAGCTCCGACTTGGGTCCTTCTTCAAAGCAGAACCTGGCAAAGAATTCAACGCGTAGATGTTGCGTACGATACACCTCAACTGCACACGAGAACGCCAGCAGATGCATGTCTGCGATCGACGGGAGCCCGTAGCTGTGAAGGAAAGACTGATACACAATCTGCGACAGAGTCAACACTCGACCACTGCCACGTGGAGTCGTGTACAGCGATCGCTGTTGTTGCGCCTTGCGCTTCGTCGCAGTCAACATCTCGCTGTATGCGTCTCCAATTATCTTTAAAACATTCGCGAGCGATTTCTTGGCGAATTGAGCAAGTTGATCCGTGTTCATGCGCCACGACGTGATGAGGCCAGAAATGGCTCGAGGCACCGCCACGCTGTTGATCTTCTGATACCTCTCCTTCTTGCCCTTCCCAACGTTCTTACCCAGCAGCGCATTCAACGTTAATGGGATTACAGGTGTGGTTTTGATCGGTGGTATCGACGCTCGAGAGGTTTCACGATCGGAGATTATTCTTTGAGGGGGCTCGAGCCCAAGTGGGCTCAACGTATCAGCAGCTTCCTGTTCGATTTCGAAATACGTTTGGCAGCCAACGTCCAGACAACCGACTTTGACGTACTCGTGCCATTCAATCGGCTCGGCGACAGCAGCTACAGCTGTGAGTCTGCGCTTGAGTCTTCGAGACAAACTGTGCGTTAATGTCTGGTCTGCTTGTACGTCTCGAGTAGTTTCGACAGTATCAACGATAGTGTTAATGTGTCCATGGTCGTCTTCGAGCGCGTGTTGGAGGATCTCTAGCACTTGCGATTCAGACCGACGATCAAGGAGTTCCGTCAACGCTTTCTTGAGTTCAGGACTCGCCGCCACTTCGGTTGTTTGGAGAGTACTCGTCTCCACATGAACACTGGGTTGTTCTAGTTCTTTGACTGGTGAGTCAGCACGATCAACCATCACCTTGTTTTCTGGAGCCTTGTCGATTGGTGGCGGCATCAGCTTTGCCAAGAGCGCGGCTCTGTCAGCAGCACTGAGCTGATCCAGCAGCTCTCCGACCGATGCAAGCGTTGGTTTAACTTCTTGCGGCGGCGTTGGTGGTGGCGGCATCTTCCCGTCAGCGAATGGCAGCAAGGCCAGCTTGAGTGCAGCTAGCCACTCCGAGCTCTCGTTATCGTTCAGCATGGATTCCAAGATAGCTTCCAGCCAGCGTATCTTCAAGTCTGCTTTCATGCGAGCGAGGTGCGTCGAGGGATCACTTAGATCGGGTGGTGTATTCAGTGCGGTAGTTGTTGCATCTTTCAGGTCTTGGATCTTCCTCTTGTAGCTCTCAGTCGGGTACTTAATGTTTATCCTGTCCATCCACGTAGCTCTCTCCTCTCGTGTCAACATCATGAAGATTTTCTTCAACATTTTCAACCGGATAGCTGCAATATGATCCGGATTTACGTCAAGCGTTGACGAACTCTCACTTCCAAGATCCTGTACCACCGCTAAAGCTTTGGACCACTGACTGTCGAGAGGGAACTGAGCCCAGCACTTGTCGAATAGTTGACTGAACTCCTTCTTCTCCAGCATCGAGAGGAACGTATTCGCCACTAGTTGCAGCACTTGAGCACTAGACAAGTTCTGGTGACGCAGGTATTTCATCATAATCATCTGGAAACGGTCACTGCAAGCAGAAGCCGACAGCATCAAGTGACTATCGTTTGTATCTTCAGTCGTAACACTCTCCTCTGTCTTGATACTAACCTGTCCTTGCGTCTGAGTCTTGTGTCCATTCTCAAACTCCTTCGACAGCAAATGCCATTGCGCTTCGGTTAAGTACGCTGCTAGGTCACTGATAAAGAAAAACTCCGTATCTGAGCTCAACAACTTAGAGAAGAAGACGTCTTTGGAGCTAAGTCCACTTGTCGTTCCCTCGCCATCGAGTATATCCCCCATTTGACCCGAGCATGTGGCGAGATAAAAGCGAAAGAGCGACTCACCGGCATTCGGTAGAGCGTCGACAACTAACTCCAACTTGTCCATCCCTTCCACGACACTCAAATGGTGCAGGAAACACATTTGCCCGTGCGTATCAAAGTGCTGATACACGTCACGGAATGAATTCGGCTCGATTAAGTCCACGATGGCACAGAGGATCATATCTCGACCACTGGAGCTGAAAGACGCGGCGTTGTGAGTTATAGCACGGCAGATCTGGGCACTCGTGACAAGCGGTACGTGTACAGGGTAGTCTGGATCATCCACATCTTTACCGTCTCGTCGCCTTAATACAAGCAGTCCTTGTTGATACTGGAGAGCTGTGATAAGCTGGTCTAGCATGGCCGAGTTGGTGGCGTATACCTTCGCTAGACCAGCTTGGACGTGAGCAAAGGGAGCGTACTGGAAGATCCGAGCGACATCATCTATAGTCACTGCCTTCAGCACGTTCGGATCCATGATACTTCTACTAGCGAGTAGCGACTTCTCCAACTCACGAACGCGTTCAAAGTACGGAGTCCGAGAGTAGAAACTCTGTACGAGCGCAGTCATCGCATCCGGTGACGAGACATCCGATGACAGCGAAGCTTCAGGGAGATAGATCGCCGCTTGGATCCCTGTCGACAGTTTCTCCAGCAACGTATTGTAGCATCCTACAATCCCTGGCATCTTGACTAATGTTGCACAACAAGCAGCTGCTTCCACTGCGTTTGGTCTCCCAACCTGCTCGACGTAAGTTTCCTGCACTTCGTCCAGCTTGACCTCTGTGAACACAGCAAATGACGCGAAATTCCCACGCTCGAGCTGGTACGAGCGAATCCAGTCTATCACGGTCGCACTCGATGATAAGTGGCCATTTAGGCGTCTCAATTGGAGCACTTCCTCGTCTGAATCTTCCGGGGTAGCTCTATTTGATACACGCGGTAAGTAAGGACTGGTACCGGATGTTGGGGCAACAGATAAGTGACGATGTATGTGCGGATGACGGTGATGACGTGGAGATTCGCTTCCAAGAGGATGAAGTCGATCAGGAACAACTTTCTTCCGTCCGAATGTCTATAATGACACATAACCACGTTTAATCCAACACGAATGGTGACAATTAAGACTTTCAAGCACAAGCCTTAAGCGAATAGACGAGTCCGTTGCCGCTGCTCACTTCTGAATCTTTCTCAACAATCTCAGTTGATCTTGGACTTAGGACTCTGGGCGGCGATGCGATGTACGTCCGTGAGCCTGTAGGAGTAGCGCCAGATGTAGCTGACGCCTTGTCGGAGCGAAACACCACCGTCCTACCATTCATGAATTCTTCTCAACAGGCTTGCGTTGATTTGCCCAGTGGGCGTTTCCTCGACACATCAGAATTAGCATCACCGTCCCGAAATATGATCCACCTACTGCATCAGCGTCCATCCTCTTAGATCTGCTGAAGTAACGAGGCATAAGTATCACGTAGCACTTGCTCCAACAGTTGTCGTTGCTCTTGAGGTTTTCCCGCTGTGTCGACTGCTCTTCGACCGTCTCTTCCCTTGCTACTGGGTCCACTTTGCTGCTGTCTCTGCAACTTGAGTAAGAAATGTACCAGCTCAGCGCTGAGGTCTGCGTTCTCGGAGCATGCGTCCACAATCCAAGGCAAGATCTCGCTCAAGAGAGTGACGTATCTGGCACTGTTTTCGCACGTGGTGCCAACTCCATTGCGGATTTTGTTCCATACCACACGAAGTGCTTGCTGCATTGCTGCGCTCTGTCGACTGCCAGAGAGATAGGCTGCACACAATGACAGCACCACGCGTAGTCGGAAACGCCACTTGGGTAGGTCCTTCTCAGCTCCTTCAGCGACGAACTCCATCAATGGCTTCGTGCCTGGTGTAGCTGAACGAGATGTTGAACCTGAACTGGAAGACGACGTTGCTGCCATCCAGTGGTCCCACAACAGCTTCATAGACGGCACGTTAGCGACAAGCGTAGGAACCAGTGAGGTGTCATAGCCCTGTGTGTGGATTGCCAGTAGCAGACGTGGAGATGAAGCCGATTCCTCAACATCTGCAGCCAGCAACTCGTTCACAAGGCCACACAGCAGTGCACGACTCTCTTCAGCCACCTCGTTGTCACTTGGTTCTGAACTCAAAGTATGCATTCTCTTGAGAAGTCCGTGTATCAGCAAGCAATCTTGCAGAAGCTGGTGCTGCTGTACACTGGCTGTAGACGCAGATGCACTCGTACCTTCCACCGATACCGAGCTGGGATCACACTTGGACACGTGAACGTTTGCTGCTGCTCGAACATCTCGGACGAGTCCCAGCAACACACGCAGCAATGCCGGTTGACAGTATACTCCATCATGGGCGTCATCCACCATCCGGAACGGCTCCTCTAACAACTGCATGTACGTCAGCAGTTGGAATGCGCCTGTTTGATGCGTCTGAGTCTGCTGCTGACGCCATTTTTCATCCGGGAAGCACAGAGCATGCACTAGTTTCATCAATAGTGAGGTACTAGGCCCCTGTTCACGACGAGCACGCGTCTCGTACAGCGCTGCAAGTTGTGAGCAGAACGCAGCCACTTGTCGACATGATGTGGACGAAGCGTGAGATGACACCACTGCATACGGAAGGAACCCGTCCACTAGAACGGGCAACTCTCGCATCACGACGTCGATCGGCGCTGATTCGAGCTCTAACAACAGCGTTTGAGCTGCTAACCAGGACGGAGGAGACTGCATCACTCGGACATTCGGCAGGTCGCCGCTGTTACGACGGCGGCGGAACCAGCTGCTCGCCAAGTCGCGCGCCGCGACATCCCGCGGACTGGAGGCAAGAGGCAGTAACTGCAATACCGATCCTGGCGATGCAGAGGCAGTAGCAGCATCGAAAAGCTGCGGGTGTTCTTCGATCATGAGCTTCAGTAATGTCGGAGCCACATATTCAAAGACGCCACCTTGGTCGCCGTGCGCTACAGCCATTGCGACGATATTGCGAAGAGGAAAAGCGCTGAGATCGTAGCTCAGACAGATGTCTGCACCAGGTCCTAACGCAGTCGCGACTGATGCGCCGGAAGAAGTTGAAACCAGACTGCTGAGCTTACTTCCAGCGACCATGGTGGCATGACGCAGTCGCTGATTAAACTGCAGAGCATACGTAAGTCCCAACACACCGCGTGCCCACTCTAACTCAAGGTCCTGTCCTTTACTGGGGCCATACGCGTGTTCCAAACACGGCGCTGCGAGCCATTTTGACAACGTGGAGCTTCGTAGAGGAACAATCGACAATTGAAGTCGACGAGGAGCTTGGGCGATGGGGTACTCGAAGGCCATCACGTAGTTTTCAATCCACTCGAGCAACACACTGACCAGTAAAGGATGAACAGGTAAAGCGACCTGCTCTCCAATCTGCGTAGCCAACCAGCTCTCAAGTCGATGACCGTGATGATGTCGCAAGAAAGATTTCTCACACAACAGGCCGTGAAGTCCACGTAGCGTAAACTCGTGTTGTCCGTGACCTGACGCCAATGCATCCATCGCCGAGACACGTGCAACTGGTGGAAATGTCAGCACCTCACGAGCCAGCCGGTTCTCCGTCAGTATCGGCTTGAGGATGACGTCTCCGAAGATGTGAAGATACTCGGCACGCAACGCTTGTTGAATGCCACTTCCAGTAGAGTTTATGTCTTCATTGAATCCAATCACCGACGCCAAAAACGGAACCAGCGCTGGAGCTTTCGTGTAGAACAACACTGCAGACACCACGAACAGCGATCCAGCACCCGCTTCACGTGCTTGGAACAGCGACACCAGTACTTGTTGAGATAAAGTCACTGCAGTCTTGGTATGCTCGTCACGCTGGCCAGGTGCCTTGCTCAGTGCCGGTGCCAGCGGATACCACAGCAATACTACCATAATAAACGCCAGACTAACTGAACGAGACGATGACGACGACGACGCAATCTTGTCGAGACTCTGTAACAGTCGAATTCGCTCTGACGCAGTCAGTTGGAAGCTGTCGAGCACCTGAAGACCAACACAAACACCGAGAACTGCAGTGAGTTCGTACGGCGACACCTTAGTCGCGCTGTCCAGTGTATCCAACAGAATGTGACGAAGTATCGTCAGGTATTTGACCGTTTCTTGTTGGAAATCACTTGTTCCGGACGCAATCTCGCGGCTTGGAAGCTGCAAATATGTCCGTAGCGCTGACCCAGGAGCTCCGTCTCTCTTGAGCCACTGGAACATGAACACACTCACGTCTTCTTTTAAACACGTTGTTACCAGTTCCAATGCCATGGCTACACAGTGTAGCGATGCAGTCTGTTGACTGAGCTTCTCCTTCAGTCTCACAGCATATAGATGCGACAACTTGGCCAAGTGCACACAAGCCCGACGAGCGTTCTCCACTACAGACGTGGAGGAGGTCAGCGCGTCTTGCTCCTGCTGCGCCATGGTCTGATCCGTCGTAGTGGCCTCCACTACCGTCGCCACGATGGCATCCATGAGCTGCTCAACACAAGAGGGGTCGTTGACGGCCAGTCTGGTGAGTAGTATGGGGCCTGTTGGTACTGCTAGAGCCTTGCGAGTCACCGTCTCCATGCCTAGACGGTTGTGAGCTGTTATGGGCTGCGTCTGGAGCTTTAGACTGGCTAGAGTCAACACGAGAATGGCGGCGACTTCTTCCTGGTAGATCTCGTTTAAAAAGAGCTCGCTGGACTCCAAACTTCCAGGGGCGGCGAGGAGCCATTCACATAATACAATCTTCACTCTCTCAGCTTCTGAACCGCGCTCGAAGCGGCGGAATGCGGCAACGGGGTCAGGAATTACAGCTGATTGAAGCTGGGACGGCGTCAGATCAGCGAATACTTGGGCGTATTGTCGCCATTTCGAAGACTTCTCTACGCGAAGAAGCGTAGCGTCTAGAGACGTCGAATTAGGAAGCAAGTTGGAGGTAGAACAGGCGCGGCGTGAACTCTGGAGGCGCGTCATGAGCGGCAAGAAAGGGGTTAGCAGCCCATCTAGCGCCTCGTCTGAGTCTCTAGTAGCGGCGTCATCAGGAAGAATTGAGAGCTCTCCGGCGGCCACGACAGAGAGAAGACGTGAGGGAAGAGACTGAGACGATGCGGTAGAGGAAGAGGGCACTGTAGGCATGGAGACGTTCATCACCACGTCGCCGTCAGAGTCGCCTGCTGTTGAGCTAATGACAGTTCCGGTAAAAAAAATGTTGTTGCACGAATGTAGTTCGAATGGTTAAGCGGCGTTGGAAACGATTTTTTTTCTAAAATCTGGAGCGCCTAGAAAAATAGAAGCTCAGAACGAGATCGAGAAGAAAACCAAAGGCGCAACGGTTCAGTGGCCGGTTGACTCTCGCTTTCCATCTTGATTGTGCCCCTTCTAAACGTCACTCTCCAATCTTCATCTTCCTCCCAATTCACAAATTGAACGAAGATGTCTTCCACAGCTAGCAGCGATGCTTCTGCAGATGTCGCGGCGGTCACCCCTAGTGCTGAAGTGCTACCGGGAACGATTCCCACTGCTATCCCTCTCACCATCCCGTCGCCATCATCGTGTAAGATGCGATCACAAGAGCTCCTCGAGTTTGAAGGCACCACCGTTTTCGCGCCATCTCCATCACCGACGTATCGGTACACGTTATCAATGAAGAATGGAAAGCTTCGCATCTGGCTCGAAGACTGCGATAGCAAAAAACAATGGTACCTATTGTTTTTTACCATTTTATCGCGTTGACTTTCTAATAGGTTTCACTGTTACATTCTCAGGTGCACGACCGACCTCGATATTCAGGACTACGTCGACTCTAGCAATGTTATCCCAGATGCCACTGCGTCCGACTACGTCGAGGAATGTGTTTGGGACCTAATGGAATTGTGGAAAGAGTGAACGCTAATTATATTGTTGGTGACATAGTGCTTTCGAGATCTTCTGGACGCTGCCGATGATGACTTGACCAACATCCCAAGCTCATTACAACGACGCAAAGATGGCATCTTACAGCTCCAGCTAGCTGTCAACATTCAAGTGCTGTTGAAAACACGAGTGGTGACCTATTCGTTTGACCTCGAGGAAATTTCAGTGGAGCGAATCGATGTCCTCGAGTCGAAACTTCACGACCTGCAAGATGAGGTTGAAACCCTAGCTTTATCTCGTCAGACCTCTACCATTCAAAAACTCGAGGAAGGGATGAAAAAACTGCTGAAAGATTGCGCTGGGCGTGACGCAGTGATCTTGCAGCTGAAAGAAGAGGTCAAAGCTGTTCATCTCGCTCGAGAGAACTCGGTTGTCGTGCTACTGCAAGCAACTACCAAAACAGCTGGAGGGGGCGATTTGGTTTGCTGGATAAACTCGACGTTTGTCTTCGGCGTCAGTGCTGTCATGACTGGCCTAGATGGTGTCGTTCCGGTCGAATCTCCTGGTACCTATCAAGTGGCAGTGGTTGTTAACCATCAGACAGGAGGACACAACATGTCCATTCAGATGATGAAAGGCTCGGACTGCATCCAGAGTGCGTACTGCGGATACGCTCAAGGCCACCCTGGTTCGACATCCCTCACGTGCACAACTCGTTTGGCTAAGAGCGACCAGCTGAGCGTCAAGTGTCCGGCAAATCTCGTGGGGACCAGCTACCTGACTCTCATTCGCCTCGGCAAATAAGTACAACGGCAGCATTGCAGCGAGCTTTACTCGCCACTCGAATCGAGTGTCTTACGCCTCTACTTTTCGTGCTTTTTATTAACTGGTAAAAGCGCAAAATGTTCACATTCACATACTTCCATCATGTGAGTGTACTTGTTAATAAGTACTTCGAAGTACCATTTTCTTTGTTGCTGTTAGAAAACGATAAATTATTTAGACAAGAAAAGGATAACAATCAAAAACTTCGACCTTCTATACAGCGTGGCTCTTAATTCCAGAAAAGCAGAAGTTGCATTCATCGACACTGCCAAAGGCGTCCGTCTTCAGTGAAGACGGACGCCTCTTCACAGTTCAGCACCGATGACTCACCGGCGGTAAGTAATGGGTCAATAACTATACCACCTGATCACTCATCGTGATCCGACGTCGTACTATCACTCACCATAATAAAGCGCTAACAATTAGAGAGGTCAAGACACCCATTACGTGTTTTCGCATTTTTCAAGCAGTAAAATAAGACAGTATAAAGGAACGCCTATTAATACACGTTGCTGATGTACTACGTAGTATTTGTTTGTTGCGTTCCCCGAATAAAAAAAATGCGAAGGTTCTATAGAAAAAAATCTTTTCTGACCAAAGTACAGACTCAGTAGTGTGTAATTTCCCGCTGTAAACGGCCAAAAAATTTAGTCGCGTTTCCGTTTTTAATACCTTCATCCTGTGCCGGTTTTCACGAGTGTCGACAACATGAGAGCATACCTGTCTGTGCAAAGTGGAGCATGACCAGCAATAGCTTTTTCATAGTAATAGAATTGTTTTTCGGTAAGGTGATGATGTGACCGGGGAATGGACAAAGATGGCTTCATTTTTATGAGGTCAGAACAAAAGTTGCAAGGTGCAGCCGAAATGAGAACAGCCAGATCAACCTTACTGTTTCTCGCCTTGTCCCAACGCTTATCTCCAGCTTCTGCCTTTAACGCGTGTATCGCTGCCACGAAAAAACCATTTTAAGAATTGTTTCCCCTTTTCGCTGAGTTTCGCGCCAGACATCCTCTCTTCCTGCACTTCTCTCTCCGCTGTACGCTTCTTGACGCCACGCAAAAGTCGCCCACCCTCCGTATTGACGATGCTAGGTAGTGGTCCATTAGCGAGCATGGCCTGGTTCGCTTCTTTTATGACGGGGGTAGCACAGACGCAGGCCTGTAGAGTGACTGCAATCACCACTACGAGGATGTAACTAAGGCGCATGACTCAGTCGGGTTCACTTCAGAGGACGGCAGTTGTGAACTGTGTTGCGAGTTGAAGAATGATGCTGGCGATATCGACCGCATTGAGCTCCGAAATGAAAAGAATCTGAGAGAACATCTCTCTTCATGATTACCGGTCGGTGTACGTAAACTCAGGCCTATCTTTAAGATAAATTCGCTCTTTTACATGTTTTATAGAACGTACTTTGAAGTACCGTATTCCTTATGTGATTGGCGACAGTCAAATTCTTGAGGTGGTCCAGCCTTTCTGCCAGCAGAAAAGATACCTGCTTAGAAAAACTATATTACATGCTCAAAATTACATTGCACATAAAGCGCGATGACACGAGATTTAAATTAATTTGATTGGCTGCTGGATTTGACGCCAATGACCGAGCGTCGCAAATTACATAAGGGGTAGACCATATAGGATTTGCAAATAAATCAGATTTTGGCTAGCAATCAATAGTTCCTTTCGATTCAAGAGCATCACATCCGGAAGTTTATCGAAGGTCCAAGGGCGCGGAAACGGGGTGAAGTACTGTACATTTCCCGCTTCCTTACCGAGTAACCTGTCTGTCCGTCCGTCTGTCAATAAGTCCGTCCGGTTCCTTTCTTGCTGTATTTTCCTGCCTTTTCGCATGGCTACACTTGGCCTGTCTAATACAGTTTCCTCCTATCCTACCGACCGCGCCTATCTTTCTGACTCGACCTAACTATGCCAAAATTACAAATATATCCAAAAGCGTGACGCAATTAACTCGCGCCCTGATTGGGCAATACCTGCCGACCTGCGACACTGACTGGATCTGTCGCACGATCAGACCGTCTCTCGCCCTCGCGATTGGACGTAAGGTAAACATTTCTGCCGAGCACGAAACGCATCGATTGGATGCAAACGGCCAGGCGAGCTGCGCAGATACTTGATTATTGCGCAAAACCTGTCGTATGTACTGCAAATCGGGCACACTAACTACTTTATTTTCTAAGAGCTCTGCACACTTCTCAAATAGAGATATTTATCATTATTATGTAGACTTCACAGACCAGTATTTGGTAAGAGCTCTAAGATGTTATTTTCCACACACTTTTCGAAGTAAAGACGATATTAATAGTAATATTACTAATATAAGCTTCACAGGCCGCATTTGTAAGAGCTCGGCGATGCTATTTTCCACAGACTTTCTAAAGTAGAGACGATAGTATTTTTTAATATTAAAGTAGGCTTCACGACCAGAACTTTTTGTAGGGACTTTGCGAATATATATCTTTTTTACTTCACCTGGCACTCAACACTACCACCGTGCAATGAAGGCGCGCGGCTGTACGGTCATTGCGGTATCTGCTCCCGTGCACCGCAACCGACGAATGCATGCGCGCACAATAATAGTCTTTTAGTCAATTTATATTGCATGTAAAGTATGTTTTTGTTTGGAAATCTGATATTAATATATTAAAGATAAGCCCAATATTAATAATATAAAACATTTTACTATTTAGCTTAATAATAAATATCAGCCTTTTATTACCGTGCTATTGGCTAATATTTGGACGAAAGTAATTTGTTAAAACAATATATTTTGCTAACATACGCACAGCTTGCAAAATGGTGGGCCCTACGTGCAAGCAATGTGAGGCGAAGATTGACCCGCTTCTGCTGAACCCGCAACGGTCTACGACGGATGCCCGGCCGCGCTGCGTCTGCTGCGGGAAGCTGCAGTACGGCTACGCGTTCCGTACAATCAGCGGGCGGGACATCGTGCGGCGCTGTATTGCCTGCGAGAACGGCCCAAAAGCGGCTGAGTTTTGGGAGGACCCCCCCCCCCACCTGATTCGGCCGAAGTGCGCCGCCAGGAAAGCCTGGCGAACGTCAAGAAGGCAATGGGTCCTGACTGGTACCCCAAGAAGAAAAAGAGGCACAGCCGCCCCTCGCAAGCTGACCGCCCGAAACGTCAGGTACATTGATTAAAAGAAGCAGCAGAAGAGCAAGTAATTGGTAAGTATACCCTTTTAGCCCCTTACCCCGCATAGGTTTGTATACTGGCTGACGGTGCAAGGCTTGGGGTCGCACATACTGTAAGCTGACTGTGGCGCTACCAAGCGTGTTGACGCGCCTATAGAGCGTAGCGCGCTTCAAAATATAATAAGACATGGAATCAACTGTGCACCGCTGCAAGTTGGTGGTTCCTATCCGCATACGCGTCACCGTAGATGGCACGTACACTCGCTCACGTGGGCACACGCAAAACCATGCTATCTGTACCACCAACCCTAACAGTTTATATTTCACTAATGTGCGCTCACGAATGTAAGCTTCAGTATTGAGTGAGCACTATGCGCGATGAATATGCTGCTGTCTACATGGACACAAGCACGTCTATGGTAGTGTTGACCATACAGGTGTCGTCGCAAGTCGATGTGCCTGTACGCAGTACTGTATTTTAGTTTCCTGTGTATAATGGTCGAGACGAGAGTCCGGTTGAGTCGCGAATGATTATAAGATGTACCCGCCGCGCGCATATTTCGCGCTGACTACTACCTACATACGCGCGGTCAGCTTGCCTGTATCACCGCGGTTATGACCTACGTCCAGTTAGTGGCGCGCTTGGGTGATCCATCAGAAGCGTAGGCGCAGAAAGCTAGCACCACGATGCAAAAGTACCGATAAAGAAACAGTGACCCCATGCATAGGTTAAGTATCTTGAGCGCGTGGCAAATACACTCATTAACGACCTCGCGCTATATGCACGGACACATCAAATAGCACGCCGAGCGGATAAGTAGGCAGCGAAAGTACTCCATCGAATGTACACGAACTATTATTCAAATCAAGTCTAAGCATCACTACGATCTGATACTCTGCCTACAGCCATATATCTTCGTATGTATGTCGTATATATCAGACTCAGTATAATGTCACTCGGAAAGGATTTACGCCACTTTGTCAGTCAGTAGCTATGCCATAAGTCAGATAGTACGTCAGCTATGCAGTAAGATAAATTCATGCGAAGACAGTGAAATACCTTCGTACATCACAAACAGCTCAGCA